AGTCTTCCTTTCCCCCTGCGCAGGTTTTCGGGGAACCCAAAACCAGGCCCAGCCCAACACTAGCAAAAGGAAGTATGAGTCCCAGGAAATGTTCTGCTGTGGTCCTGGTGAGAAAACCTACTTCAATCAGCTGTTGCCTATTAGGATCCCAATTTGTAGCTCAGGAAACTGAGGCACAAACCCCGAAAGTCCTTGGTGGAGGTTACAGCTGGGCAAGGCTGCTCAAAGCCAAGGCAGTTTAGCCCCTGCCTCAACCAGCAAGGCTTCCCTAGATCTGTGATGTGCTTCTCCAAGGGGAGGCTCGGCCACGTGCCTGCTCCTGATTCTTCCCAAGGTGACCTCAAGGACAAGGGCTCCACGATGCACATCAGGCATCTGTGCTGTTCCAGGAGCTGTCATGGAAAAGCTGAGCTGGGTAGATGGCACCCAAGACCATCATAACATGCTGCAGGCACAGGTTTGGGAGCTCTGAACTTGGGGTAAAAAGGGAATTTGTCCCTTCTCAAGGGTACAGATGCAGGACGGTCACATCCACCCACCAAATGCCAGCCCTGATGCTCCAGAAGTCCAGTACCCCCACCATCAATACCTCACCCACCCTGCCAGGTCTGCATCCATAGAACCTTCTAGGCTGCCCATCCTTGTCATCTCATCATGCAATATCCAAGATCCAGGACCCCAAACCTCAGTCAGACTCAAACAGATTGTTCAAAGCACAACAGCAGACTTGCAGGTCTATAGGCTTCTTTGGGCTCAAAAATTCTATTAGTTATAGACTTAGACCCCTGGGGGGCCAGAGTTTCATGAATCAAAGAGAACATAAATTCATTGCTTCCGGAAGGTAAGCTAGCTCCCACTTACAGGAGGCCTGCTAAGTGCCAGCTATTTGCTAGACAATATAAACCCACTGGTGCCAACATTCCTTGTAGGAAACCTACAAACAAAAAAGTATCTTCATGCTCCTTTGACAAAAGAGAACACGAAGGCTTAAGCTGACTGCCAGCCACAGGTGCCCGGCTTGTGGGCAGGAGTTCCAGCCCTGAACTTGGGTATCTGACTGCAGTCTGTGGTGTGCTAACGGGTGCCTTTCCATCGAGCGAGCCAGGAGCGGAGAAGCACAGGGCGACAAGGGCAGGTCAGCTGGTGCTCCCCCGTGACTGGGCCCCGAGAACTTCTCCAAGGCCATCCCAAGTAATCTCATCACGAAGGACTATCTGAAGGTCATCCTGTGCAGCCGATCCCAGGACAGGACGGGTGAGAGGAGGCACCAGGGCCAATGTGGAATCAGGAGATCCAAGGCCCTGAAGCTGCAGCCCTGACTGAATGCGCCTGGCTGGACCCAGGGTAATTACCAAGCAGTAATGGGATCTGATATTTATGCTGTATTAGTCACGAGCCCGATAGAGAAAATGTGTTGTTTTCTCAGACACAGCCATGGAGACAGCACCTCAATAATTCATTACACACAGACCATCCTTGATCAAGCCCAAGCTCCTCCAAGGATGACAGCTCAAACACAGAACAACAGGCCCCACACAACCAACAGCCCCATCAGGACACCAGCCTCAGTCTCCCCAGGGATTCACAGGGAAGTAAACTGAATACCAGCAGATGAACAAAAGGACATACAGACATAAAAATAAGTCCAAGGCTGGGTTCCTAAAGGGACTGCTAAACTAAAAATGCACCTTACATAAAATCCCAGAACAGGGAGAATGTACAGAGTCCAACCTTCACTTTGGACAATCAAGGAAAGACAGACCAGGGAGGTTAAACGGCTTCTTCAAAGTTGTCCCCTTATTCAGGCTTGCAAGGAGTTTGCCAAGCACAAACAAAATTCAGCAGCTCCCTGTTCATTGTAATCTTATGACTGGAGTGGACCTCCGAATGTCAAGGCCAAACATAAAGAGAACTCTAATGAATCCATCGGGGAAAAAAGAAAACAGCACTGTGCAAAAGTACAGCAAAGAACACAGCACTGGAATGACTGCGCCCCAGTTCTCAACGGAGAGAAAACATACTAAGCTGTTTTCTTTACCTCTTAAAAAAAAAAAAAAAAAAAAAAAAAAAAAAAAAAAACCACCTTCCCTTCTCTTCAAAACTACATACTAAAGTCACTGGCTATACGCTATTTGGCCAAAGGTACTCAGCCAGAGGCTCCTTGTGACACATCAACAGTCTCAGGTTTCTCTGATCAAAAAACGATGGTGCAGTCCTAGACCAAATGCACGTGATTTCGGAGCTCCCTGCGAAGCTTCTCTCTGCCAGAAATCCCAAGTTGAAAAGGCCTGCTCGAAGGCCTGCTCTTCCGGGGATGCCGGGATGGTGGCTCCTGCTCGGACCAGAGCCATTCTAGATGGTCAGGCAAGTCAAAGGATGAGTAGTGCTCTACAGAAAGGTAGCTGAGGTTTGCTCAGAAACGCTAGAACTAAAATAATCGTTCTCAACTGGAGCCAAATACTTTCTTCTGCACCAAGTCTTGTCAAAACTACCAAATACTTGGAAAGCAGAAAGAGTGAAGTTCCTAAAACAAAACTGCAAAAACAATGTAGACCTCAAGGGTAGGAAGAAAAGCTTATAAAAAGCCTGACTTATCATCACGGGCTATGATGGCCCAGCTACACACAGTTTAGTTAAAGAAATCAAGGCAGGTATTATGAGATTTTGAGGGCCATAGCTTAAAATGAGCTCACAATATCAAAAATGACTGGATCTCATTCAGTACAGGCTCCCTTCTTTCCAGTTAGGCGTAAATCATCTCCCATCCCAGCCTGATTCCTTACAGAAACTTCCAGCACATCCACTCAGCCGGTCTTAGAGCTACAAAAGATCGCCAAATATATATGGATTGTTTTTCCTAATGACCATTGCCAAAAACCTACTTTCTTAAGAAAACCAACAGAGGCTGTGCTTGGTCATCTCTGAGGAAAGAGTTCTTTCTTGCAAACTGTCTGATGAGCATCTCATGACAAGCACTGCAGTGGCATTTATGTTCTGGCCCTGGAGGAAAGACGTTGTAGAAACTGTATTTAAAACCCCAGGATCACAAAACCACCACATCCTATTTAGACTCATTGAGAAAAAAAAAAAAAAAAAAAAGTTTTCATTAAGATCAAAATTGCCCACTTCTGCAAAATGGAAGGTTGTTAAAAAGTTCAACCAAAGCAAGCTATCTACAGAGTATTTTAGATGCTTGCAACTGAACCATCTTTTCCCTTAAGGGCAATTGCAGAATCTCAGTGAAGGGAGGAGGGGGGCGGAATTCCCAGGACTGAAGCCTGTAGGGGAGGTAGAAGAGAAGGAATGTGTGATAAAAAAGCGCTACAAGAAACAGTGCAGTTAAGAGCTGGGTGAGGCGGGGGCACCACAGGGACTGTGGCTAGGACCTTGCTTCCCAAAGGGCTTCTCTGGAAGGTAAAAGGTCTTCCTCCTTGAGAAGCAAGGGGAACCTCTGTCACCCTGAAGGTAACCCCAAAGGTGGCTCGCAATATCTGGAGCCCTCCAAGGAGGTAAGAAGAGAGGAAAGGGAGTAATGGTTTTTTATTTTATTTCTCTCCCTTATTCCGACACACCCGCATTTTCCAAAACACAAACGTGCTGCCACAAAACACAGCTGAGCTCCAGCACCCAACGCGATGTATAATTAATAACCAAAATAAAGCACTGGGGTTCACCTTTGCCTTTTATTATCAGCCTTCACCTTGAACCCCTAACTCCCCAATGTCCTCCTTTAGTGGCCAGGAAGCTGCTACAAGTTGCTGCACCCCGTAAAGTTGGAGGGGGTTCGAGATTAACTTTATCAGGAAATGTGTAAGCATTCGGGTACTAGGATTTGCATCTGCCCGGCCCTCTCTTCCCCTAGATATCTCCACCCTCTCAAAATATGGGTGCTACGAAGTCTTCCGGGATGGTATCAACTCAACAAAAAGGCAACTCTTTCTCTTTTTTTTCCAGGTTTTTTAAAATTATTATTCTGTGGGTTTCTATCAAACACTATCCCCTTTGCTCACCCCAGCCACTGGTGGAAGACAGAAAGGGACATCTCAAGGGACACGGCCGCAGACCAGTCAGCCAGCCGAGCAACCATACATCTCAGGCATTGTGAGCCTGGTGCGGTGGGCGTTTGAGCCAGGAATAGCCCAAGGCGGCATCTAGCCGGAAAGGGGCTCGCGGAGACTCCGCGGCCTCTGCCGACTCTCAGCTGGCGGCCCTCACACTCTAGCTCAGCGTGGCTGGTGGCATTTCCGGGGACCAAAGCGGGTGGCCTTGGGGGGCGAGAGTATACAAGAAGCCGAAGAGCCTGGGGTGGGGTATGTTCTATTTAAAAAAAAAAAAAAAATTGAAGGAATAGAGCATCGCATTTGCCACCTCGCCATATCCCTAAAGTGGCAACCGCCCAGGTTGCTCCAATTCTGGGATGGGTCTCCCCAACTTTCTCCCCACCACCACCACCACCAAGAAACACTTTTCGTGGCCATGATCCTCCCAAGGGATTCCCTAGCGTAAAAGATTTTTTCCCTCGCCCAAAGGTCCTTCCCTTCTTTCGGACCCCAGGAACTCATCCGCCCCAACAGGTTCCCAAAGTGCAGTGCGGGCTGCCGCGTTCCCCTCGCCCATCTCAAGAAGCCCGGCCGCGGCAGGTGAGCGTGGCCTCAGCTTCCTCCGTCCCAGTGGGGGTGGCTCTCCTCACCCCACAGCACAGCACCTGAAAGGCGCGCGTTCCCTACCCAGGTTCTGATCGCAAGTGCCAAGAACCCTACAGTAAATAAGGGGATGGGATCGGCGTCCGGGTCCCGGAGCGCACCGACCAGGGGCAACTCCTAGATCCCGGCGCGCCATCCGCCGCGCCAGCCTGAGGGCGCAAGGAGCTCGGAGGGCAGAGAGGCTAAGGCTGCGGGGACGCAGGCTGCGCGGCGCGCGCAGGGCGAGGAGTGGGCTGCGGCGGGTGCCGGGAGGCGGCGAGGCGGGCGCTGGGGGCGGGTGCCCGGGGTGCGCGTTACCTTCGTCTTGCCCCCGCAGTGACAGCAAACGGTCCACAGGTACTTGAGCGTCCGCCAGAGCAAGATGATGAAGAGGCCCCCGAAGAAAGTCACCATGGAGGAGGCCAGGAAAGCCCACCACATGCGTTGGCCCCGGCTGTCGCACGGCACCTCCATGGTCACCGGGATGATGAGCGCATCCATCTTGGGCTCGTGGACCGAGGACGAGGAGGAAGAGGAGGAGGAGGAAGAGGAGGAGGAGGACGCGTCTAGGCTGAGATGGTTCGCGTGGATATTGCTGCTCATTCTAAGACCGCTGCCTCCGCCGCCGTCGCCGCCGCTGCTACTACTGTCGCCACCGCCGCCGTCGCCACCATTTGCCATAGCTAGCAGCGGGCGGCCGGCGCAGGGGCTCGGGGGAGCTCCTCCCGCCGCCAGCGCCACCCCGAACACCCATCCACAGCCATGTTGCTGCCACCGCGGCCGCCGCTGAGCGCGGGGAGGGGGCGGGGAGGCGCTGGGCTGGGGCGCTGTGCGCGACCTGGCGGGGTGCGCGGGGATATATACAGCCGGCCGCGCCGCCCGCCCTCCCCCGGCCGCC